TGGGCCGCTCGACTGCGCTCGCTCGTTGGCCGCGTCCGAAGAGGGCGCCGCCGCCTTCCTGCAGGGCGCCGGCGCGACGGCGTTCGGGTACGCCTTGGCTGGCGCGTGCGCCTTTGGGCTGCTGGAGGTCTTTTCGCGCGCCATCAACGAGGCAGCGGGCGCGGGCAACTCGCTCTTCTTCTCGACGCCGCTGCTCGCGCTTGCGTCGGCGTGCGCGACCGCTTTTTGCGCGGCGGTGGTTTGCCCGTTTGAGGCGGTGAGGATAGGGGCGGTGCGGAACGGCGCGTCGTCGCTCGCGGCCGTGCAGCAGATTGTCGCCGACGAGGGGGCCGCCGCGCTCTACCGCGGGCTCGGGCCGATCCTCCTCAAGGAGGTGCCCTTCGTGGTGACCAAGTTCGTCGTCTTCGACCGCGTCGCCGCGCTGCTCGCCGCCGCCCTGCCCGACGCGCAGGGCGGCGCCCTCCTCTCGGTCGGGCTTCCCCTCGCCGCCGGGTCGGTCGCCGGCCTCTTCGCGGCGCTCGCGTCGCAGCCCGCCGACGCGCTACTGACGCTCACCAACGAGGAGGGCGCGACGCTCGGCTCGGCAACCTCTCGCCTCGCCGCCGAGCCTCGGCTCGCGCTGCAGGGGCTCGCGCCGCGCGGCCTCTTCGCGATGCTCCTCTCGTCGCTCCAGTTCCTGATCTACACGCGGCTGCGCGACCTGTTTGGCGTCTCGAAGGCCGACCTCACTCTCGTGTGGGACGCGCTCGCGACCATCCAGGCGGGGCCCATCGGAAGATGATATTGCGGGTGCGCTGCGATGCGCTGATTGATCTGGCGAAATCGTCTTTCATTCGCCGATTGCAGCATCTCTCGCGATCATCTAGGCTTATAGAGGGGTGCACAGCTGGTCGGCGGCTCAGGCCATCAGACGATCAGAGTGCATGCAGACAAAAAATGGTTTACGTTTACGTCTCGCGGCACGCGGGCCGCCTGCAGTTTTTTTTCTCACAGTCGTGACGCGCACGCGGTGACGCTTCTCTCACACACCTACGAAAAAATGAAAAAGTCTACCTAAACACGCTTTCCTCTGATCTAGATACCCCCCCTCTCCGCTGTGACGCAGCTCGCAGGCGATTTTACCTTTTTAGCTCGAGAGCGCGCGGCCTCTGCGAGGTCCGAGGAGCGCGCAGGGCCAGGGGGTGAGGGGAAGCGGGGGCGGGGCCTATGGGGTGGGTCCTGACGCATTAATTGCGTGTTTCCGGTCGTGCACGTTTCCCGCCTTGCAAAAGAATTCTTAGGATGCAAGCCTCTCTCACAGCACACTGGCACGACAAGGGCGCGGACTGGCGCGGACTGGCACACACACCGGCTCACCACCGGAGCCTTGCAAAAGAATTTTACTATACAAGCCCCTCTCACAGCAGACTGGCTCGGACTGGCACTACAAATGGCACAGCAAAAGAATCTTACAACGAAACTCCCTCGCACAACACTGGGCACGCAAAAGAAAGAACATATCGTTGGACGCGACCCGACGCGCCCGACGCGCCTAGAGTCACTCTCTGGCCTTGTGTGTAATGTCCACCAAGGTCAGCCCGCTGACCCGGGCCGTACTCGGCGCCCTGCTCATCCACGCCGTGGCGTATATCGCCGTCAACGCGCTCCTCTTCATGATCAATCTCATGACAACGCTCCTTTTTCCGCCGTGGTTCTTGTGGCCTCTCGTGTGCTGGGGTTTCGGCCTCGTTATACACGCGGCAGTCAGCTTCTGCCTCGCCGGACCTCGCCAGATCGGTGCATTCTGCACGGAGACCGCCGCGGCCATACCCGCTCTCGCTCCTCTCCTGCAGCCTATCCGCGCTGCGCTTGGCAGCTGAGGCAGGCCGAGTGCCCCGAGTGCGCGTCAGATAATTTTCGGTCGTGTGGTTTCCTCTCTCAACCTTGGTGGCCGCTCTCGTCGCCGCCACCATAACACGAACCGCCTACAGTCTGCGGAACCGGACCCAGAAGGGGACGGTCCGGGCGAGTGTGGCGCAGTTACTGCGCTATAGAGTGATCTGTGATCTGTGAGGGTCCGCCCGCAGGCGCATTTTGTATACCGAGGCGGTGCCCGGTGCCGCTAGTACCTAGTATGGGCACCCTCTATCACAACATTTCCCGTCAGCGAGCACAGCACAGACCGAGCGGCGCCCACACGCCGCGCGGATTGCGCGAAGATAGCTCCCCGCGGCACAGGCACGCGTCACACACCGGCACCAGCCACCACTCTGCTGCGCACCACACGCGCCGGCACAGAGTACACCCCCACACACACCCAAGTGAACGTTTCCCGGCACCGCGCACGCACAGCACGCGGCCTCGCGCCTCCGCCTCCGCCGCGGCCTCGACCTCCCTTCGGCACAAGCGCTCAGCGCCTCAGCCGGATTGCCGTCATCAGCGCCATCAGTCCGCTGAGGGAGGCCCAGGTCGCGCTGTACACCTGCGGGAAGAGGGGGGGGGGGGGGGTGAGCGGCTCTCGTTGCGTGCCGCGCCGCCGCGCCGCCGCCCGCCGCACCAGGTGCGTCTCCGGCTTGACGTGGAACTCGAGGAAGGAGGAGAGCGGCCGCTGCAGCGGCCAGCCGCCTCCGCCCGGCGAGGGGCGCTGGCTGGGCGTCTCGTACAGGACGACGGGGCTGCTTCCCGTCGCATCGGCCATCGCCTCCGCATCGAGGTACACGAACCGCCGCTGCGCGGCGTCGTTTGTCGTGAAGCGGTTGCCCGCCTCGCCACAACGCAGGACGCCGTCGACGCAAAGCTCTCCCACCGGCTGAGAGACCTGGTCCACCTGATCCCGAGGCACCCAGCCGCGGTTCACGAGCACCGCGCCGCCGTCCGTGCAGCGCAGCGGCGTGATCACGTCCCAACCCGTCATGCCCGCGCCGCCGGGAGGCGGCTTTGCGCCTGGCGGCGCCGCATCGACGCCCGCCGGCGCGGAGCGCGGGCCCATGAGCAGCTGCTGGCGGTGATCAAAGGTGCCGCGGCACTCGACGCGCCGGAACTCGTGCTTCGGCGCCACGCCGTCCGCCCGAGCCGCGGCAGGCACCACCGCCGCCAGCGGCTCTGGGGCGGCGTGCAGCGTCGCCTTCCGCTCCGACACGAGCGCCAGCTTCCACTGGCGGCGCTGGAGCTGCCAGTAGGAGAGGCCGGCCGTTCCCGCAGCGACGCCGGAGAAGAAGGTGGTCTGGGCGATCTTCACCCACGGCCTGGGCTTTAGCGTCGCTGCGGCCATCACGTCGCGGAAGTTTCACGTCGGCGCCCCTGCTTTATTTTCTTGTATTTTTTTGTTTTCCGCATCTGCCCTTCGTGTTTTCTTCGCCTCCCAACCCGGCCGGCCGCGAGAAAGGTGGCGAGCGCTGTCGCGGCGACTGGCGACGGCAAAAATGCAAGCCCCGCCCCTGGTCGGCTCCGCCGTCGCCCAGCTCTACCGTGAGACGCTCAAGCGATGCCGCCACCTCGGCGGCGAGCGCGGCCGCGGCGCGCGGCTCGACGCGCAGCACTTCTACGCCAAGCTCCGCGCGGCCGCGGACGGCGCCGCCGCCCGCGCCGCGCTGGAAGAGGCCGAGTCGCGGCTCGCGTACCTGCGCATGGTGACGCCGCGGTTCAGAGGAGCGAGGCGAGTCGGCGGAGAGGACGCGAGTGGCGGGGGCGGCTCGACGAAGGGCAGCTTCGTGATGCGCGACGGAGTGCTGCAGGCGAGTGGCCGCAGCCCACACACACGCCCTTGCGCCGGTCCCTCACGCGCCTTCGTGCCGCCGAACTCGCAGCCGAGAGGCGCTCAGGCAAACGGCTCGAAGCCCATCTCAAACTGGGGCGGCAACAATCCGGACCCCGATTTTGTGAGCTGCGTTCAATCGGCGTCCCTTGCGATGGCTGCGTCCCCACCGCGACACCGCCCGCGCCTCCGCAGGTGGCGAGGCACAACCACCTGATGGAGCGGCAGCACTTTGGCGGGGACTATTGGCGCTCGCGTGGCGTAAACAGCGCTCCGCGGCCCTCCTTTTACAAGCGCTGAGGGGTTCGGGCGTGGACGGGCCTCGGGTGAGGCAGAGCGTAGAGAGGCACTTTCCCGGTTTTTACCTCTGACGAAATCATCGCCCTCACAAAATAATGTGGCATCACATGCGCTGTCGGGGGGTTACACCCCTTACACTGAGGACGTGTCTGATACTGTCAGGATTACTGTCTCTGTCACGCGCGCGCTCACACACCCAGGCTGCCAGGTCACAGGTGGCATGTTGTGCGAGTATATGGGACAAAAGCGTCGAAAATGTCCCAAAGAAGCGTGACTCGAGTTTGTGGCAGCCCCACAGCCGGCGCGCGCTGCCAGGAAGCACCGCTCGCGTGTCGGCGGCACTCCCTGGCACCCAGTGAGTGCCGCGAACCGACCAGACCGAACAGGCTCGACGCCGCGCTCGCTGTGGGGCTGCCACAAAGTCGCCGCCGAGCGTGCCACCGAAAGCGTCCCGTCGGAGGTGATGGAGTGTGAGACCTGAGGCTGCGGAGGTGACGCCTGAGGTACCGGCCCGTGCACAGCGACCCAGCCGGCGACCGCCACGGGCTCAGGCGAGACTTGTCGACGCGTTCCGGCTCAGCTTCACCGTGGTCATTGGGCGTCTGTCGACGTCAGGACCACCCATACAGCTCACGGGTTTGAGGTCGCAAGAACCAAGATGGTGGCGTTTGGACATCCCAACCATCACACAAGACAGCCTGTAGGTGATGGCGGGACGGCGCAGTGTTTGTGGCACTCGGCAGTAGGCACCCGCGGCACGGCCCCGCTGTCGGCTCTCGCGGCGGGCTGCGGAACCGGCCCCAGAAGGGGACGGTCCGGGCGAGTGTGGCAGCTCCTGCGCTAGCATGGGCACCCTGTATCATAGCACTACTGATCCTGGTCATAAGAGCTGCCAGGAATAGCGTCAGGAGCCGGTAGGAGTCAAAACCCCTCATATTTGAGACATCGTGTCCCATATACTCGCACAACGAGCCAGGTGTCAGACTCGGACAGTCAAGTCAGACCGGCGGGCTCAGCTCACAATATACGAACCACTTTGTGTTTGATGGACGTAAGGGCGACAACAAAACAAACTCTCTCTAGGGCGTACTACGACGCCCTTGATGGACACGGTCACGGACGTGGCGTAGCGCTCCCACCGTCCGGAGGGCGGCACGAGCTGCTGGGCTGACGCGGCGTAGCGCCTCCGCCGTCCGGAGGGCGGCACGAGCTGTTGGGCTTAGATTATCCCTTGGAGGTGCGGGCCGCTCTCATTCCGGCGCAGACCCGGTGGGCATACGCGGTTGCACCAAGCCGCAGTGACATTGTAGCGCGTCATGTCGCTCCGGAAGCGCCGCTGGACGGCCGCGTACAAAGCCTGGTCATACGGGTCACCCTCCTGTTTGACCTTCCCCAGAATCTGCGCCTTGGTTCTGGCGCTATGGCGGCCGGGCTTTGCATTCTCCAGCTCGCCACCGACGCACCGGCCTCCAAACATCGCGTGGAAGAGGCAGATGGAGAGGCGCCACTCGGATGTGAGCCCGACGTACGCAAACGACTCGAGGCGCTTCAGCGCGGCGCTGACGTTGGGCACCTCCGTCAAGTCGCACAGGGCGTATCCACTGTTGCACTCTTCGCCGGACGCTTGGCCACTGAGCATCTTGACGGCGGTGCCGCGTGCGCGTCGCGCATACTCAGAGGCATTCAGCTGCGCGTTCGCCCGCTCCTTTCCAAACCACGCGAAGGCCGAGGCGACGCGTGAGACGGGCTCGCGAAACATGCCGAAGAAGTTGCCTTGGAAGAGCTGATGCGCCTCGTCACTGATCGCGTCGTGGCCGGCGAATCAGATTGCTTGCCCCTTGGACCAGAACGCGCACGGGTCGCGAGCGACCTCGTGCAGGAGCGTTCGGTCAGTGTGGGCGCGCTCACAAAAGGACTTATTCCGCGGCACATTTCGATGTCCAAGGGCATGGTGCCCGAATGCTCGCAGACAGGAAAGCCGATGCTGAGCGCAGCCTTGGATTGTGCGCATGAAGGAGCGTTGCTCCGAACGAAGTGCCCGCCTTGGGTACGTGCACCCACGCATAGCGGGGCATGATGCGGGCCAAGTCGCATTTCGAGCGGAATGCCTGAATGTACTCGGTCTCCCTGGTTTTGGCCGCTTTGCGCAGCACTTGCAGCTGGCTGAGGAGGGAGCGCTTGGGTATGCTGTTGTTTGGATGGAGGCTAGTATTTGAATGGAGGCTGCTGAAAGAACTGTACAGCTCCTGCTGGACGGAGGGGCAATGCGCAATCACGGCTGCAGCAACAGCGAGAGAGGCGGCTGCGATGCCGATCACGATCGTCACCGCCAGCATTGCCTACCGCCTGACGGACTGCGCCGCATCCTCGGTGGAGCGAGGCTGAGCGAGCCATCGAGAGGGGACGCAGAAACTAAGTCAGTTGTTGTGAGGACGTTGCCCACTGTCTGACTCGCAAATGACCTGGTCAACACTTGGCGGGCAAAAAAGTAAAAGAAAATGTTGAAACTCGGCGTACGAGGTATTTATTCTTCAAAAGAATGAAAGCAAGTAGCATGTCTGACTGTCACTGTGCGAAATCGCACCCCGCGGTTGTGCGTTTATGTGAACTTTTACTTTTGCTCGCCTTCCCTGGGACGCTGTGTCTCTTTGTTGTTGTTTGTTTGTGTTGCGTGCGAGAGAGAGATTTTTAGCCCAATACCAAACAAATCTAACACTCACGCGTCATTTGGGGCCTGGAGGCCTGTTCACGCGCGCGCGAGACGTGCAGACAGGGTTGCCAGGTGAGAGCGAATGGCGCGGTTCACGCCTTGGACGTTTGTTTTGTTTGCGTGCGTGACTGTCTCTATGCGATTTCGGGCCCGGGGTTGTGCGTTTATGTGAACATTCCCCGCATCCCCAGGGCCTCCAGGGCTCGCACCTCATCCTCTCACAGACCAGCGCACAGCGCGCGGACGTATTTTCTTCTCGAGAACAAGGCTGTGAACAAAAAACCAGCTGAAGGGTCGGCAAGGACGACACAAAGGAGCAGCGCGGCATGGCTCAGCAGCAGCGATTTATCTTCATCTTCTCGACCGCTTCGGGACACACCAATCCTTCCTTCCCAATCGCTCGTCACCTCGTCAAGCGCGGACACAGCGTGACGTACCTCTCGTCGAGCAATTTCCGAGCAGCCATCGAGGCGACTGGAGCGGTTTTTGTCGACGAAGCCACGGTCCTGACAGAATTCTTCCAGGCCGCCGACAACTATTCGGCGGCATCCCAGGCGTTGATGGCGGAGTTTGGGTGCGAATCGATGCCGTTCCACCTGCAGAACCTCAAGCTTGGCAACGTCAGAATCGAGCGGCAGCTGCCCGGTCTTCTGCGCTTTCTGAACGAGGGCGCGTACGATGCGGTGGTGTACGACCCTCTGATGCTGCCCTCCGCCACCCACGCGTGCAGCCTCCTCAGCATTCCAGCTGCGGGTCTGTTCACGGTCGCTGGCCCAGGCGCCATCGAGGCGTTCCTCAGCGACGCGGTCAGCAAGGCGGGCATCGGCCTGGAGGACCTCGACCGAGCCTACTTTGAGGACGAGGTCAACACGGCTGCCATGCTGCGGCTGCGCGAGCGCTACCCAGGGATCGCGCTGCCAAAGGAGCGCCCCTTCTCGCTGCCGGTGAACAACTGCTACCTCGGAGGGCCCAAGGCGGCGACGCTGGTGACAACGATTGAACCGCTGTGCGACGCGGTGAGCGAGCGGACGGCGTCAGCGCTCGATGAGGCCAAAGTGACCTTCTTCCACATTGGTCCCAGCCTGGACGTCGAGGGCGCGGCTCGCGCAGGCGGCTTCGTCTTTAGCAAGAAGGAGGAGCAGGTCGCACCGCCAACGCTGCACCGGCACCGGTCGGACGTGCAAGACACCGGCGACTCGGCCCTCGCCGCCGTGAGGCAGGCCAAGGAGTTGGGCGTCCCGGTGGTGTACGTCAGCCTTGGAACCGTCCTGACCTCGGACCTGCCCACGGTTGGCTGGGAAAGCCGCGAGGCGGACGGCGAGGGCAAGGCCTTTGGCATCACCGGCAAGCAACTGGTGCAGAGCGTCTTTCGCGCGGCCTTCGACGAGTTTGGTGCGCCCGAGGTTGCGGAGGCGGGGCGAGGCAGCTTTACCGAGGCGTGCAGCAATGGCGCGCCGCTGATCGTGTGTAGCACCGGCCCGCAGCCAGACGCGCTCGACGGGCTGGCCGTCCCTCCGAACGCCGTTTGCCGCAGTTACATCGCGCAGGTCGACCTCCTCTCCTCGGGCGCTGTGAGCATGTTCGTGACGCACGGCGGCCAGAACTCCTTCACCGAGAGTATGGCCAAGGGCGTCCCCCTGGTCGTCGTTCCCGGATTTGGCGACCAGCCCGTGAATGGCCGCAAGGCCGAGAGCTTGGGCTTGGGCCTCGCTGTCCCGCGCCCCAAGGAGGACGGAGACGCCGTCCTTTCCGAGTACGTGCGCGACCTGCGCCAGGCGATGCGCGGCGTGCTTGAGGGCGACTCGTACCGCGCAAAGGCGCGGGAGATGGCGGAGGCCATTCGCGGCGCGGGCGGGGCGGAGAGGGCGGCGGAGATTGTGATTGGCCTCGCCGAGGCTGGGCGAGGCCGTCCCCACTGATTAGTTTGATCGTACAGGGGGCGCTGAACGCGCTGTGGCGGGAGAACCGGCCCCACCGCATGCGGGCGGCTCGCTGGCGTCTGGGGCACGGTGTCGTGACTCTCTCTCCTCGCTCGATCTGCGTGCTTTTGCGCTGTGGCTCACGACGCGGCAACGCGATGGGACGCTGCGTCGAGCGTGGCGCGTTGTGGCGTTCTCGTCTCGGTTCTCAGAACGATTCTCAGAACCGGCAGAATGGTTTGTAGAAGGGCGGCGCGGTGGCGAGCGAGCAAGCGCCACGCCGCGCAGCCCGGACTACGCTCGATCTGCGTGCTTTTGCGCTGTGGCCGGACACACTGACCATATGATATCGGTCACCCATTGCAAAAGTTGGAGCGAAAGAAATGTGGTATTTCTCACGCTCTGTGGGTCGGTAAAAAGTAGCGACACCCAAGTGTACAGTCGTCGGCGCTGTACGTCATAGCGCCGAGCATTGCCATGCAGTCGAACCACCCGGGGTCGAACCATCGGGATGAAAACCATGTGTCACATCGGCGAGGTTTCACTTGGTCGGGGATTCCCACGCAGTGCAGGAGTAGTGCCACGACCTCTGTCAACACATTGAGCTGCCTCCTATCGTAATTGAGCATCTCACGAAGCTGTTGTTGAAGACGTTGTTGCTCTCGCCCTGAAAGTGGGCGGCCGTCAGAGCATCGCTTGGCAACAATCAGCCCTGTCGTTACTGAATGCAGTGAAAGGATCAGCACCGGAGCAGCGCAAGTCACAACTTCGATCGCTAGAATGGTGGTCATGCGAACACCCACGACCGTTAGCACCCCACGTAGGGTGGACTTGGCAAGCCTCCACAGACGGCGAGGGTTGCAGCTCTTGGCGAGGTAGCTTTCTTGAGCAGAAGCTGG